CCTCCCCATTGAGTTCCTTGACCTGGACATACCTCCCCTGCGTAGCCCGTGCTTCGGCCATCGCCACCGAGCTCCGTCCCCTCGCTTCCGGACCTTACCGGCCTCCCTTAACTCTCCATCGTATACATGGGGATCTCCTCGTGCGAGTCCCGGCCTCCCGACCGCTCCCTCGCAGCCCTTACGGAGCGCCGCCGGCCGCCGACCGTGAGACGCACTCCGGTGAGGTACAGGTAGGAGATAGAGTGTGTTTTTTTTACTTTTTTTATTTACTCATGTTCCCCGCATGTAAGGAGAGAGAGAGAGTCTGTTTTTTCTTTTTTCTTTTTCTCAACGGGTCCCGCATGTAAGAGAGAGTGTGTGTGTATTTTTAACAGGGGTAAAAATGTCCAAAACGGCGCACCGCCGTGGTCAAACGGCGTTGACCGGACGGAGCCGTGACAGAAGGGCATTTGGACGACCTCGAAGGAAAAAGTAAGGGTAAAACTGAGCAGGCTCGAAAAGTAAGGGCAAAACCCGTGGGTAGAAACCAACTAGGGACAAAAATGCAATTGTCCCTTATTCTTAATTCCTACTAGTTACTGCCATCATTCGCAATCTGAAAAAAATCTGATGTAGTCGACAAGGCCAAAACATTCGCCTCTAACGGTCCTGGTTTTTAGCGGGCCACAATTGGGCCGGCCTGCATCTTTCTTGGGCCCGAATGGCCATTGGGGCCTTCGCACTTTGCGCCAGGCCCACAACTTACTCCGGCCTATATTCGGCCCAAATTTTAGTTGGGCCTTTTGTGGACCCAGCGCTTAGTTTGGCCCATATAGCGTTGGGCCATTAACAGGCTGAATATTCTGGTGGCCTGTTACGGCCCAAAAGAAACCATGGGCCTTTAGCAGGCCGAAATTCATGTTGGGACTCAATTTTCACTAGTCGTCGGCGGGCCTTCAGCAGGCTGAAAGGCAGACCGGGCCTTTTTTGGGCCAGTTATATGACGGGCGTTACCAGGCCGAAATATTTCGGTCCTAGGTTGGCCCACTGATATCATGGGCCTTTAAGAGGCCGAAAGCTTAGTACAGGCATCAACGGGCCGAATTATACGACAGGCCTTTAACAGGCCCAAAGTCATGTTGGGCTGAACTGTTGCCACCTTTATCACGGGCCGTTAGTGGGCCGGATGTAGCGTTGGACCATAGATGGCCCATGGGCAGCACGGGCCATTCCCAGGCCGAAAGACACACCGGGCTGAAATGGGCCCATGTCTACATCAGGCCTCTAACAGGCCGAAAGTCACTGGGCTGTAATTGGGCCCAAATATTCGGCGAACAATTAATGGGCCAGATCTGGCTTTGGGCCGTAAATGGGCCTTATTAAACAGGTCGTATGGGCTGGCCCACTAATACCTGAGTAAGTACAACGGGCCTTTGATTGGGCCGGCCTTTTTAACCTATATGGGCCTTTATTGGGCCATGTCACGTGTCGACGTATTATAGGCGCCTCGTGTCCAATGAATGGATGACATCTGTCCCAACGGTGAGCCAACACATGTTTCCTCCGGCCAATGACAATTTTACACGTGGAAAATCCTCATTGGTCCGGGCTGTTAACGGGTTATCGGATCCAAAATCGGACCCGATAGCTTAACGGCGACCCGTTACAGTGGATGCCACGTGTCGGTCACCCTTGACAAAAGCACTTCCATGACGCGTGATTTATCATCATGGAAGTGGACACTTCCGTGATGATAATTTTGGTAATGTCATGGAACACTTCTACGAGAGCACAGGTATGACTATCTTGATTCTGTTATAAAATTTTCATGAATGTACAGGCATGACAGAAAACGTGACCTACCGTGACAAACACATATCATCACGGAAGTGTCTTTTTTTTGTAGTGATAACTACATCAGTTACTGGTAATGGCAGCTATAACTACACTTGAAGTCTTGATATTAAGCTACTTGACCATTGCAGCTCCCACGTCGCCCCTACACATCCTCTGTCCGACTGATGATGGTTAGGCTGACTGAAGGGAAGACGTCCGAGTGTAGTCGGTGTATCAGAGTGGATTTTCAGTGGAGCACATCCGAATGCGCCTGTGGTCCAGGGAGCTTCCACTGATGGTGTGGACCCCAGGTGGACCTTAGATGCAGGTCCTTGACCGTACCAGTAGTAGGTAACCCCATCAACGACAGTGGCGAAGCATTTTGGGTGGTAGTGGCGGTGCCTCCGAAGTCGCCCGAGTGCGTCCCCGGAGGCGGTTAAGGTTCGGCATTTTCTCATATGTTCTCCTCTGAAATCCTATATATCTAAATAGTTGAACCCCACTAGTTCTATTTCTCTTGACATATAACTATGCCAACTAACGATGTTACCACGAATAGGAAAAGAGCCGCCTTATCTCGACATGCAATAGTGCCAACTCACCATGCTATGCCATGCCATGCATCGAAAAGACAAATGTTCTACAGGTGTATACAATAATTAAGTATTTTATTTTAATTTCAATTCTCAAACAATGTTTTATACAATTAAATCTAGTTGAAATACTGCAACTAATTCTAGCAGTAACGCCCAAGGTATCATCTCTAGTTTTCTAAGTAAGCAATCCCATTTAAATGCACAGACAAGTCATCCATATCTCAAACGCATGAAATCTTCCACTTTTCACCACATGCAAGCCATCTACATCATCTAGTATGCAGGCCCTCTGCATCATCAATTTATAGCAACAAACAATTGAACTGGAATATCACAAGGCAATATGACAAAAAATATGATGCGGTATTATTCTCATATATTTCAATTTTATTTTCGGTAGTTTTGTCGCTATAAATTTCTGTAGCGGGGTCTATTGTACGAACATGAGGACAGCAGTATCTTGCACCCGTCCTCACTACCATCGTCAGATGACTAGGTGCCTCACAAACCACAGATAGTGTGGTAGAGTGTTCGGCATCTAAAAAAAAAGTATTCAACATCAACGAGTAACCAAACACAAAATTGACAATGCACAGTGGCAGCAGATATTACTTACACAGTACGAGATATGTCTAACAGCGGCAGCAACTAATGTTCGGTTATTTCGTACGCGATAGTGCATATGTGCATTCTGTCGCCATTATTTTTCAATGGCAGTTTCCTCTCAGCGACAATGTGCATATGGTGGTAGAGCTCCTAATGAAAGGTTAAGAAGAGTTTGCAGGCCTAACTCATTTTGGCAGGAGACTACTGTCTATACTAACATTCCTGAGATATAACAGCTTGAACCAACAAAAAACACTTGATCATGTCATCCTGAACCCAGACACTCTGCAACATCTGCCAAATGTTCATGTCCAACTAACATTAGTCAATTATTCTAAAAAAACTAACATTAGTCATTCCTGTATTATATAACTGCATGAAATGAACGAAGCCGTCACTATACACATAGATCGAATTTCCAATCAATAGCAAACAGAAGGTCAATTGACCACACAAATTCCATAGAACTTGATTCCAGCGGAAAAGAATAAGAGACAAGTTAATCAAACCTACTAATTTCTATTTGAACAGGAGAATTATATTCACTTATACCAGAGGCTAGGCTTGGCTTGGTAAACCCCGACAAGACAGCGCGCATCAAACTGGCAGGTATTAAAAGCAAGCACCAGGAAGAAATGAACAGTAAGGGGGCAAAAATGCAATCCGCTTGTAAAAATTGAAATTGAAATGTCTCAGAAGAAATCTCACATTAAGGCAAGATAGAGACAATACTACCAAGTGGTCAGTTCTCATAACTTGTCATGATATCACCTTGACTTATGATATTACTGAACAGATCTTTCAAAAGGATGCCTACAAAGACCAACAATGGCAGCTACACAAATAACAAGTGTTCTGGGTGCCAGTTTGATGCCTTGAGCATATTACTAATCACATAGTTCATATTAGACCATGATGGTAGTTAAATAAACTCCACAGGATTCCACCACAATGCTGGTTGGTATAGAAGATTTCAGGCTGTCATAACTGTAAGAGAACAATCTTATCTAATACCACTGTGTATTTGCTGGACATGTATACAGAAAAAGGAAATCAGAATTACCAATCCAGCAATTGAGCATACCTCTTCAGGGATTTATCTAGTGAATATTGGGCAAGAGAAAATAATCATCTATGAACCCTAGGTTATACTCCGTCCAAAATAATCATGTGATACATGTCATTTATCCCTGAACTTTGCTGTAACATGACCAACATGCCCTTGTTTGCCTGTTTCAGCTTTGGACACAAATTCCTGAAGAGATGTGTAAATTTACAAAGAGAACAAGATCACTAGCCAATCTATTAATACAGTGCAAGAAACACTGCAAATATATAAGAAATAACTTGCTTAAGTAAAGCACTCCAAAAGAAATATGACTCATGCAAAAAAATCATATAGAACACGCCATCATTCTGAGAACAACATATCATAGAGATAGTAGGTACTTCTAAAGATGTGCCAAAAGTAACACAGATGATTTTCGGCATAATTGGTAAACAGGCTACAACCAGTTGAGAACACTGATCTTGCGGACAGAACAAAAAAGAGGCTCCAAGGTCCTGATGCCTTGCCCCAACACCGAGAAGAGACAGTAGCGAATCCAAGGAACAGATAAGTAATCCACCCACAATGTAAATGGTAAGTTTGGTACCAGAAGACGACACAATTACCATAAACGATCAAAATACACATGATTGAGTTATCACTGAATCCTGAATGTCAAGGAACAGATGAAGTAATCCACCCACAATGTAAATGGTAAGTTTGGTAACAGCAGACAACAACAATTACCATAAACGATCAAAATGCAGGATTGACTAGCCATTGAATCCTGAATATCAAGGAACTTTGTCAGGACCTTCAGCGTGATGCAGGTCCAAAGAAGAGATCAGTTCTGGATGGTAGCTGGATGTTTTGATTCAGTAGGAGAACAAGGCAATGCTTTTCACAGAATATCCTTCTCTGGTTGTCATCATTCCTCATATGAAGGGATAAAATCTTTCATTCTCTGGTAACAGAAAAGTACTCCACGATGAATGGTGGTATGGTTGGAAGAGACCATTATACGTCCTCGGAAACAACCACTCCAGCCTGCGACTTTCCAAGCACAGACAAGCGAACCAACAAGTGGCGTCGAGCGGATGGAACATCTGTGATGTTGTGAAGTACACTATGCTACCCCGCATTGCCGCAATTTTCAGCCCATTCTGGGGTATGTACCCAAGCTTCCGTCGAACTTGATCAGTCAGGTTGAATACCCTGCTGTTAGCCCATGCCCCAGCATCAAGGCCATCTTCTTGACGCAGCATGAAACCGATGTTGAATCCATTTGAATAAGCAATGCACATCTTATCGCCGTTAATTTGGCCAAGGATCGAGCTGCGAAAACCTTCCAGATTTAGAAGAGGGGGGATCATCTCAACAAACAATCGCGGGTTGTTTGGGTCGGGGTCCAAGACAACCACATACGCACGATTCTGATAAAGCCAGTAGATGAAATTACCCACTCGCATGCCGCTCTCAAGCACAAGATCACCTTCGTCACCATCGTCATCTTCGTCATCTTCGTCACCTTCCGGGTGGGGGTTGGGATGGTGCGGGACATCCAACCATGGGGAGAGGAACCAATCGCCGCCCATTCCCAAGAATGAGAAGAAGACCGCAGCCCGCAACCTGAACTCTCCATGGGCAGCAAGACAGAAGATGCCAAAGCTCGCGGGGTTTTCGTCATCGCAGATCAGGCCGGCGTAAAGGAGTTGACGATCGCCTTCGCGGTCGTAGTCGTCGTCCTCGAAGATGCGGGAGTCACTCAGATCAAAGAACCGCTCGCACCACCGTGCCAAGGGGTTTAGCAGCAGGAGCAATACCTCATCCTCTTTGATGAGGAGAAGGTAGCCGCCACAGGCGTCGAGGAAGCTCCAGTTAGCTTCCGGGCCGTCGCGCGCCTGGAGGCTGGTGAGGAAAAAGTCACCGCTCAAGATGGCGGCCACGAGCTCCGGATCATTCCGGCGGGCGGGGGCGAAGGTGGGGATGCCGGGGACAGCCTGAAACGGCGTGTCGAAGAAGAGGCCGAGGAGGGGCGCCGGGTGGAGGTCGATGAATTGACGGCGGAAGGGGGGGAAGTTGGTCACCAGGTTGCGCCAGGCCAGGCAGGTGCAGGCGGCGCGGACGAGGTCCGAGAGGGAGGGAAGGCGGAGGAAGATATCGAGCAGCAGGTTTTCAGGGAGGTCGTCGATGGTGGCGACCGCCGCCGCCGGCTGGCCGTTGGCGGCCATAGATACGGCGGTTGGACGGGGATTCCCTCGCGTCCGCTGCCGAACCAACCAACTCAGTCTGATCTATAGAAGGAATTAGGAAAGAGAAAAATTCACTGTATGTCGCTAAACTTGAGCTGGGTGACAGTTTGGTACCACTAAAATACCCTAACTGCGGTCCAAGTACTTGCGTATAGGGTTCACTTTGGTCCATTTGTACGATTTCGTGTACGTATTTGCTGACTTGGCCGAGTCAACGGCCGCCAGCTCGCTTTGACCGCCACCTGATCGATCCTAGGGTGAATACTAGTCGATCCGGGGGTGTTTTGCAAAAACGCCATGACCATTGGCTGTCTCCCTCCCCTCACGCACCCGCTCGCTGTCTCCTCTCCTCCGCACCCTCTCTGCTCCTCGTCGCTGCCGGTTTGTTACCCGCTCGCCGTTGGAGTTGCCATGCCTCGGTTTGTCACCACGCAGAAGCAAGAACGTATTTAGCCTGACTGGCCGAGGGGCAAGCAGCAGTGGCTCGCGCTGCGCCTAGGCGACCTCGGCTGCGCATCCGCCGCCGCGTCACGGGCCCACGCGCCCGTCGCCGGAAGAGGAGGGAGAGGAGGGACGTGGGCGGTGGAGGTAGCGGCGTCACGCCTGCTGGGGACGTGTGGTGCACGTGCACCCCGGGGATTCCCTTTGCCGCCGAGGCGTCGTCCGTGGACTGCGTTGTGGCGCGCCACCACACGGAGGCTCCGGGCCGCCGCGGGGACGGGGAGAGGCGACACCGGGAGGTTTGTACTGGCTTTTCCTTGCTTCTGCTTGATTTTCCGATGTGGAGATGGCCACTTTGTGTCTCCCCGTGCTGAAACTTTGAACGAATTTTCAACTGAATCTCCATCCTGTTCTGAACCGACTTCTGATTTCCGTTTGACAGAGGACCGCCGAGCAACGGGCGCGCAGGGTCACCATGCGGGAGCACATCGTAGGTGGTTTCAGACTATCAGGGGTCCATGCTCAATCTTATGCTACTAGTAGCCATCATATGTAGCCCATGGTCGATAACATGAACTACGAGGTACCCCCTACCGCCCTCCACAATGTGCAGCAGATTTCAGTTTGCACACCATCATCTTGCTCAAGTCTACATTGTCTCTCAACCACATCGTTTACAGGAGCTACTCGCGCTGGAGGACAGGATTGGCTACGTAAGCACAGGGCTGCGCGAAGACGAGATCGTCCGCGGCCTTAGGGTTGGCAAAAACCTGTCGTTCCACCGCAAGCATTTCTCAATAGAGACGAAGCGGAGCTGCAGCATTTGCCAAGTTTGACGATGAACCTGCTCCTTTCGATTCAGTCCCCATGTCACATCGGCATCGGCTCTTCACAAGTTAACATGAACTTACAAATCATTGCAATTTTTCAGGAAGAGTTTGAAGCGAGTGAGGAGGTAGGGAGGTTGAGCTGCGGCCACGGCTACCATGTGCACTGCATCAAGCAGTGGCTCTCCCGAAAGAATGCCTGCCCACTTTGCAAGACCGCCGTCTCAAAACCATGAGATAGATCATAGTCCTAGATCCCTACGCCACACAATTTCTTTTTCTCTGGTATAATACATGTATTCATGTCGCATCTGAAAGGGTGCTTGTTCTTGTATACATAGTTGTGCTTCTACAGCCCCCTCTGATGCTCTGCATATACTCATTGTTGTTGTAAAAAAATACACAGGCACACATGCATATAGAAATGATATTGGCCTCATCGTCTTGAATTGCATCTCAGTTACGGCCTCGTGCATTTCCCGCCGACGAGCTTCAAGCAGCTTCTTACGGCGAGCGACTGCGCCCGTGGGTGCCGCGCCAACGGTGACGGTGGCGGCAACGGCGACAGTGGCATCGTCTTCCTTCTTGACGCGCCACCGATGAGCCTTTCACCATCGCGGCTCTCCTCGACGTGTGCGCGCACTGTAAGCCGTCGCGCGGCCTCTGCTGCCCCGCCGCGCTCTCGTCGTCGTCCACGGCATGTAATTCAAGCCCGAGCTCCCTCTCGATCGCCTCGGCGCGCATGATCATCTCCTTCTCGCCGGCCCGCCGCGCCTCCACCCACGCCTCGGCCGCCGCCACCTTCTTGTCGGCGACCGCGCGGACCACCTCGGCGCGGCCGGTCAGGTACTCGTACTCGAACCTCGGGAGCGTCACGTTCCCGGACCTCCGCGGCGCCATGGACGCCCTCTCCACCGCCGTGCCATCGACGGCGGCCCTCAGCCTCCCCGTCACCGTGGCCTCCGACGCCCTCGTCGCCTCCAGCTCCCTGATCGAGCCCCTGATCCTCTGCTCGGCGGCGGCGATCTCGGCGTCCACGCTGTCCGCGTCTTCCAGGACGCACTGGCCCTCCTGCTCCATCAGCGTTTTCTCCTTCTCTGCCGCCTCGGTCTCCTCCTCCAGCTGCCGCAGCGTCGCCTCCAGGTCGGCGAGGATCTCGCCGGCCATCTCATTGGCGGCCGTGATGGCGCCCAGCCGGCACTTGGCGTCGCGCAGCGCGGCCTCCAGCTGCCGCACCTGCGCTCCGGCCTTCTTCTCCTGCTCCTCCAGCCGGCCGATCTCCTCGGCGAGGCGCGCCGCCTCCGTGCGCGTGCGCTCCATGGACGCCGTGAACTGGAGGCTCTCTCCTTTGGCGGACTCGAGCTCTGCCCGCGCCATGTCTAGCTTGGCCTCCGTCGCCTGCAGAGACGGCGTGCTGTCGTGTCCCTCGTCCATGATCTCCGAGTCCGAGGAGTGACCGAAGCCGTGGCGGAGCCGTCTGTCGTCGGAGCTCGCCGCCGTGAGCCACGCTTCGAGCTCACTCGACACGCTCTGGCTCTGGGACCAAGCCTACCTTGACGACCTTGGGCAGCGTGGTTCGCCGCCGGGGCTTCCCGCGGCGCCGCACGTCGATGCTCTGGCTCTGTCTCTGGCTGAAGATGCTCATGTCGTCGCCCACCGACACCGACTCGTAGCCGCCGCCGTAGCCCCGCGCCGTCCAGATCCTCGCGCCCTCCATTGCCGCCATAGTTTTCTCGGAGCAATGGAGGCCAGTCAGGCTAAATACGTTCTTGCTTCTGCGTGGTGACAAACCGGGGCATGGCAACTCCAACGGCGAGCGGGTAACAAACCGGCAGCGAGCGGGTGCGTGAAGAGAGGGAGACAGCGAATGGTCATGGCGTTTTTTGCAAAAACACCCCCGGATTGACTAGTATTCACCCCAGGATCAACCGGGTGGCAGTCAAAGCGAGCTGGCGGCCGTTGACTGGGCCAAGTCAGCAAATACGTACACGGAATCGTACAAATGAATCAAAGTGAACCCTGTGCGCAAGTACTTGGACCGTAGTTAAAGTATTTTGAAGTAGTGGTACCAAACTGTCACCCGACTCAAGTTTAGTGGCGTACAGTGAATTTTTCTCACTAGGAAATGAGCCGCTCCGTAAACAGGAGAAGTGGGTTATTAACGCCAGCAAACCCCAACCCGGCAAGAGAGGATGTCGCTGGGCGCTGGCATTGTCCACCAGTCCTTTAAAAGACTTTATTTTGTATGGCTTAAACAAATATTCCCTCCGTCCCATAATGTAAGACGTTTTTTGACTCTAGTGTAATGTCAAAAAACGTCTTATATTATGGGACGGAGGGAGTACTTTATAGTTTACAAAACCGTAGTATATTCAAAACTGAGGGTTTTTTGCAGTATCTAAAAAGAGGTCTGGACCTTTTTTCTCAAACCGAGAAACACTCACGCCTATCTGGTCTTAGAAAGACTGTACTTGCCAAAAGCTATGTAGTTTTGCTAAAGCAGAGGAAAACTGCTGTTTCTAGAAATTGAGGTATTCATTGTCTAGGCATTACAATACCATAGTTTTAGATTACTGTGGTTTTAGAAATACTATGCTCCCAAACTAGGCCTACATTTTCTCCCACGACATGCACCATCCCTCTCTTGTTTGTAGGGTTGTCACGGCAAATGGTCACACAGATGGCATCACGGCTTGGCATGGTGACGGTGGCGCTGTTTGGTTTGGTGTCCGGGCGAGGGCGTTGGGAAAGGAGGCGGACATGGGGAAGACGGCGCGCTCAGTGCGACTTAACCACGTCATCCCCGCCTGTGCCAATGATCTTGGCCAGTGGCAATGTTGCCGCTGCCGCTAACATCGGCAGGCGTCCGGGGGATCGGCTACGAAGGCACCAACCATCGAGCGACAGCTGGCCCGCAACAAAGATCTGCGCAAGGGTGCCACCAAGTCCGCATGAACGTCCTTGAAACTGTCGGGTGATATGGATTCTTTTGCTCTTTCATTCTCCACTCGTCCTGTTGTAGACCAAATAGATCAAATTTATTGAGATTTATCGAAAGATTTGTTGTGGTTTTGATAATTTATTTCAGTGTGTAGTAATCCAAGTCTCATGCTCTGCTGCTCCTGCAACGGCGACATTTTCTACTCCCACTAGCAGACCTGGTTCAAGATCAGAGGCAACAAGTAAGGTCCTACTTTATGTCTATGTTAGTCTGTCAGCTCGATATAATTCATCCCCAGCCCTCTGTGTTCACTTTACTTTAGTTAACTAAATTTGGCATAACGCTCGGATGCTAGGGTTTTTACGGATTTATGTATTCACTATAACAGTAAAGAACATGTATTATAAAATTTATATGTGATATACAACTATTCTTCATGAAGAGAAGAAGATAAGAAATGAGCTGAAAAAGAGGATAAAACTAGAGAGAATGGCTACATGGATAACTAGATTAGAAGAGTTTGGAAGTGGTCACGTTCCTTTCATGTGCTTGCTTTATAAAGGTAAAGATTCAGTTCACCACACAATTCCTGTTGTTTTTATTGGAAGAGTTCCACATTGTTGCATGAGAATTGTAGAGGGAAAAGATATATGGTTTTCCTTCTGTCAAATGACTTTAAGCATTCTTGTCAAATGACTTTAAGCATTATTTATCCGATACTGCAAAGTATGAAAGTGTGAACTGGGGTAGTTTACTTTCTTTGTTGTTTG